ACATGGATAGGACAGACATGTTCAGTAGCAACTTTTGGTCTTCGTCCTCATCTTCATCCATGGTCCAGCCCATCCCTAATTCTCTCCCAGGAGGTCACAAAAGAACTTTGTCTCAGGGAATTTCTAAACTCTTCAGCTTCACACAACCCTCAGACTCTGGCAGTCTCCGCAGTGTGGAGCCGGGGGACACAAGCGAGGCCGACCACAGTTCTTCAGGCCAACCGGGGGATGATTTCGGAACGTGTTTACAGACGAATGACTCTCCCAGGTCTAAAGAAAATGGCGCCACAATTCTGGAGCTCCCGTTGGAGGAGGAGGATGTATATTCAGAAGACCCTGAACTTCTCAGGAAGATGATTGCGGAGCTGAAGGAGGAGATGGCAGCACAGAAAAATAGCTACGAGGAGCAAATGAAAAGGTAATGCGAACATCTTGGTCGATTCCATCTCTCTCTCTTCAGCCAACAACCATATTTTTCTGAGTATAAGACGTACCGGAGTATAAGACGCACCAAGGTTTTGAAGAGGCAATTTTTTTTAAAAAAAAAAGCTTTTGCATTCTGCAAACCTCCCCAAAACGGCCAGTTTTTTGTGAAAACAGGCCTGTTTTTTTAAAGAACATAAATAGCCCTTAGGAGGCTTTTAAAGTGTTCCTGGGGGTGGGAGCAAACATGAGCAAAAAAGGCCCTTTTTCACAAAAATAGGCCCGTTTTTTGTCAAAAAAAAAAGGGCATTAGGAAGCTTATAGAGTGCTCCTGGGGGTCGGGGGTCAAAATTGTGCAAAACCCCGGCCCATTTTGTGCTCATTTCTGCCCTCCCCAGCCCCCAGAAGCTCTCTGAAAGCCTCCTACAAACTATGCACGACCATTTTTGCAAAAGGGCGGGGTTTCAGGAGGCAAAAAATGCTGTATTCAGTGTATAAGATGCATCCAGATTTTCAGCCTCTTTTTTGAGAGAAAAAGGTGCATCTTATACTCTGAAAAATACGGTAACTCTACAGGCAGTCCTCAACTAATGATCCTTCATTTAATGCCCATTAAAGTTACGACAGTGCTGAAAAGAGGGCAGGCATTTGTGGGCAGGGTCTTAATTTGGATTCCAGTAGTCTGGATTTCAGGGTCTTTTTAAGTTTATCGCCCCATTCCAGCCAACTGGTCGTTCATGCATTTCTTTAGAGCAGGGCTCTCCAACCTTGGCCACTTTAAGACTTGTGGATTTCAACTCCCAGAATTCCTCAACCTTTAGGTCCAACTGACCACAGGTTGGTGGCCCCAGATTTTCTGCCTCCTTCCTCCCCACCATACCGTAGTACGGGACTCGCTGCTTGGAGGCGTGGCTTGATATGACTTGCTCTTCCTTTTGCAGCCTCGAGAAGGAGAACTTTGACGTCTGGACCAAAGTGGTGAGGCTTAATAAAGAGATTGAAGAAGAAAAAACTAAATCTACAAAGCTGGAATCTGAGCTCCGGAACCTTAAACGTTCCAGGAAGGTCAACGAGGAGAACCAACACAATGAAGACTTGTTGAAGTCTACAGGCCAGGTGCCCACAAGAACTGAGAAGAGGACAGAGTGGGCAGACCAGCTGTGATTCCTCTTTCTCAAAGGACTGTTGTACTTAACACTTGTATAGATTCAAAACAGAACCCCTGGTGGGTTCACCAAGACTGGATTCCATTCCCTCAAGAGCAGGGATCTCCAACCTTGTCAACTTTAAAACTTCTGGGAGTTGAAGTCCACCAGTTTTAAAGTTGACAAGGTTGGCAGCTTTGCTGGCTGAGGAATTCTGGGCATTGAAGTCCACAAGTCTTAAAGTTGTCAGAGTTGGAGACCCCTGCTCCAGAGGGTTGATTCTGATGTCTCTCTGTATATTACTTTTCCAACTAAGACTTTTTTATTCCTGTTTGCGAATGATTAAAAACAAAATACCAATGTGTCTTAAATAAGTAAACTTGCCATCTCCCTGTTTGTTTCTCTGTCCTGCTTTGTATTCCATACGATTAGGGGTGGGATTCAAAAAGTTTAGCAACCAGTTCTCTGTGTCAACTTGTAAAGCGTTTCCATGCCTATTATCAAGTTGACATTGAAGGGAGGGAGGATTCCATACATACCTTCAACCAGGGTCGGATCCCAGATTTCTACAGCAGGCGTGTGAGGAGCGAACATTTACAGCCTGCTGCAGCACCTTGTTGGTGGATGTGATTTATGACACAGACTGAGGGGAGGAGAGACACAGGGGTAAAGTTCAGGCACCATTAACCAGAATCAGATTTGGCTTTGCAGCAGAACATGCCAAAATGTTGCTCCTAATAAATGTCTGGATTTCTTTTGGACTTTGTCTCGAGGCTCGTAAATTAATTAGGGCATCTTTTGGAAACTTCACACTCTGCCTGGTTGCTGGATGGGTGTGGCCATGGTGGGCGTATCCTACTCAGCCTCCTGTACCACAGCAGGGGGGGGGTTCATCCTCCCCAGGCTCCGGAGGCTTTTCTTGAGCCTCTGGGAAGGTGAAAATGGCCCCCCTGGGCCCTCAAGGCTTTCCGGATGTTGGAAATGGGCCTGTTTCTGGACTTCTGGGAGGCCTATATTTCACCCTCCCAGAGCCTCAGCGTGGCCTCTGCACATACCTGGCATCCAAAATGGGCTGCATGGATACTCCAAGGAGGGGAGGGTTGGCCCCGCCCACTTCTCCCCTCCCCTCCTTGGAGTA